TTGACCTCAGATACATGTTTCCAATGAGCTTTCCATTTGTTCATCTTACTTTTCTCCAAGGACTATATGTTCAATACACTCCTACCAAACTCATTAATTACCCCACCAAAACTTTTTCCTTTTCCCATCTTTCTTGATTCCTATGAATGGGATCACCATTTGGAGGGTGCAGGGAGCAGAGTTAGCCACTTTCTCCTCAGCATGCACACAGCACTTCGAACAAACCTCTGTTAAAATATCTATCACAACAGACTCTTAACTGCTTAACTCTTCACTTAGATTTGAAGTTCCATCAAAAAGCTGTGCTAAGATACAGCAGAAACTCAACAAATTTGGGAAAATGGATGAATCCTTTCAATCAACATGGTTCAAAATCTTTTTTTTTTTTTTTTTTTTTGAGACAAAGATTCTCACCTTGTTGCCCAGGCTGGAGAGCAGTGGCAGAATCTTGGCTCACTGCACCCTCTGCCCTCTGGGTTCAAGTGATTCTCCTGCCTCAGCCTCCCAAGTAGCTGGGACTACAGGCATGCACCACCACGACCAGATAGTTTTTGTCTTTTTAGTAGAGACAGGGTTTCACCATGTTGGCCAGGCTGGTCTAGAGCTCTAGACCTCAAGTGATCCACTCACCTCAGCCTCTGAAAGTGCTGGGATTACAGGCACAAGTCACTGCGCCCGGCCTATTCAAAACCTTTGAATCATGCCCAACTCATGGCTCATTCATCAAACTCCAATAACATGTACGAAGTTCTCTCATACCTCTACAAAAGCTCTTGATTCTTCTCATGAACAAGGCCACTATCCTTTCTTCAGATTTAAATGAAACCCCAAACATAAACTACAACTGTCTCCTAACTGGGCAAAAAGTCTCCAGTTTTCCTCTGCCTCCAAGCTAACTCTGCTGCCAGACCAGTCTTTCTAAAATGCTACTCTAACCACATTCTCTTTCTAACCACTCTAGCCTTGGCTTAGACACCTCCAATGGTTTCCCACCATTTCTAGAAAAGTTACAGTTCAAAACCCATAGAAGGTTATCACTGCCTTCCATGTTTGGATCTTTGTTATCTCTCCATCCTTATCTCTTTCTACTCCTATGTTCTAGTCTAAGGGTCGACACACTACAGCTAGTGAACCAAATCCACCCCACTGCCTGTTTTTGTAAAGTCTTACCAGAACTTGGTCATGTTCATTCATTTATGTATTGTCTATGGCTGCTTTTGTGCTACAATGGAAGAATGGAGTAGTTCCAACAGAGACCTTTTAGCCTGCAAAGCCCAGAATATTTACTATTTAGCCCTATGCAGAAAAAAGTGTGCTGACTCTGTTGTAACAGGACAACTGGCTACTCCCTGAAAATGGCCTGTTTCCCACCTGCATTCCTTGTTTCATGCTGTTCCTCTCTCTTGGAAAAACCTCCTGCTTTTTTCCTAAATTGTATGTATTCTTTAAGACCAGCTCAAATGCCACTTTTTTCACAAGACTTCCCTGATCCCAGGATTAAGGGTGAGCTTCCCTGTGCTCACAGTGCAATATTGGTACCTCTCCTTCACATTTACCACATTGTGTTTGTTGCTATGATTACTGGTGTAAACAATTTCTGCTTCTATGCTATAAATCTACTACCACAACCATCTGCAGCGTCCACAGAGCATAACAGCATTTTGCTCTCTAAATGTTTGTGGAGTTGAAATGAACCCCCCCACAAGCTCAAATATTGGACTGAAATCAACAAGATAAAATTTCATAGGGAGATATTTTTATTTTTTATTTTTTGAGACAGAGTTTTGTTCTTGGTGCCCAGGCTGGAGTGCAGTGGCACATCTTGGCTTATTGCAACCTCCACCTCCCGGGTTCAAGCAATTACCCTGCCTCAGTCTCCGGAGTAGCTGGGATTACAGCCATCTGCCACCACGCCCAGCTAATTTTTTGTATTTTTAATAGAGACAGGGTTTCATTGTGTTGGCCACGCTGGTCTCGAACTCCTGACCTCAGGTGATCCACCCGCCTTGGCCTCCCAAAGTGTTGGGATTACAGGCGTGAGCCACCATGTCCGGCCGGGAGATATTTTTAATAAGGCCTATAGGCAGGTCCCCATTTTCATTTTTGTAAGATCTGACAGCTGCATACATGAGAATAATCTAGAGCAGGGTTTCTCAGTCCCAGTACTATTGCTATTTTGGGCCAGTTCTTTGTTGTAGGGGGCTGTCCTGTGCACTGTAAAACATTTAACAATGTCTTTAACCTCTACCCACTAGATTCCAGTATCACCTCCACAGTGTGACAACATAAAATGTTTCTAGACATTGCCAAACATCTCCTGAGGGCAAAACTGCCCGCAGTTAAGAAGCACTACTCTAGAAATTTCCAACTATAAGCTAACAGTAAGATGTTGCTGATAAAATATAGACTATATAGTAATCATAGTACAGTGTCCATATTAAGAGATAAGAGCCATACTGTTTTCAATGCTAACTGACTCACACTTATGAGACAGTGCTCAACTGCAGATTTTAAAAGGACTTTGGGGCCAGGCATGGTGGCTCATGCCTGTAATCCCAGCATTTTGGGCGGCCAAGGCAGGTGGGTCTCCTGAGGTCAGGAGTTCGAGATCAGCCTGATCAAAATGGAGAACGCTGTCTCTACTAAAAATACAAAATTAGTTGGGCGTGGTAGCACATGCCTCTAATCCCAGCTACTCAGGAGGCTGAGGCAGGAGAATCGCTTGAACCTGGGAGGCAGAGGTTGCAGTGAGCCGAGATAGTACCACTGCACTCCAGCCTGGGCAACAAGAGCGAAACTCCGTCTCAAAAAAAGAAAAGAAAAAAAAAGCACTTTGGAAAACTGGAATTCATATAATCAAAGGTGACGAGGCTGATGAGAGACTGGGGAAAATGTCACAGAGGGACATTTAAGTAAATGGAGGTGGTCAGCCTATACAAGAGGAAGAAAAAACCATGATCTTCAAATAGCTGATGGACTGTCCTGTGGGAGGAAGTTTACTCAGGAAGGCAGATCTAGAACCAGTGGGAGGCACCTGCAGAAAGGAAGGTTTTGGTTCTATACAAGTAAAAGCTTTCTAACAATCAGAGCTGGCTAACAAATGTATTGGGCTGAGGTATGAAACACTGTACTCTTGTAATTCTGGATGTCTTCAAGCAGAAACAAGATTAACTGATGTCAGAGATGCCATAGGGAAATTTCTGCATAGGGTAGGCGGTGGGACAAGATGGTCTCTCTAAGGTTAGCAAAGGTAAAGTAATATGCCATCAATAAGCCATATGCAATTTCAAGACCTCAACCACAGCGAAAAAGATATTGCTAAATCATTCACCCTATTTCTGTTTAGTAACATCTTACATTTAGTCCTTGGTACTGTAACTACCAGTGACCTATTTTTTTCTAACTGACCTGTAATAGTTCCTGGATAGGCCAGGCGTGGTGGCTGATGCCTGTAATCCCAGCACTTTGGAAGGCTGAGGCGGGTGGATCACCTGAAGTTAAGAATTCGAGACCAGCCTGGTTAACATGGTGAAACCCCATTTCTACTAAAAATACAAAAAATTAGCTGGGCATCGTGGCGCCTGCCTATAATCCCAGCTACTCAGGAGGCTGAGGCAGGAGAATTGCTTGAACCCAGGAGGCAGAGGTTGCAGTGAGCCAAGATCACGCCGTTGCACTCCAGCTTAGGCAACAAGAGTAAAACTCCGTCTCAAAAAAAAAAGTTCCTGGATAATGTATTTCACTACCTTTAAACCAGAACTTTTATTCTGCTAATAATAACCACCAATATAATTTGTAAAATGCTTTGCAGTTTTCAAAGCATCCTGACATGCATCACCTTACTCACATTAGCTAAACATGAAAATGAAAACTTATTTTAGATAACCTGCTCTCATTTACTGCCTCTTGCCTGAATTTCCCCCTTTTTTTTTTTTCCCCCCGAGACTGAGTCTTTCTCTGTCATCCAGGCTGGAGTACAGTGGCGCGATCCTGGCTCACTGCAACCTCCACCTCCTGGATTCAAGTAAGTCCCCTGCCTCAGCTTCCCAAATCGCTGGGATTACAGGCACCCACCACCATGTCTGGCTAATTTTTCTATTTTTAGAACAGACGGGGTTTTACCATGTTGGCCAGGGTGGTCTTGACCTCAGGTGATCCACCTGCCTCAGCCTCCCAGTGCTGGGATTACAGAAAGTGTTGGGATTACAGGCATGAGCCACTGTGCCCAGCCTGAATTTCTTTCTTTCTTTCTTTCTTTTTTTTTTAGATAGAGTCTCACTCTATCGCCCAGGCTGGAGTACAGTGGCATGATCTCGGCTCGCTGCAACCTCTGCCTCTCGGGTCCAAGTGATTCTCCTACCTCAGCCTCCTGAGTAGCTGCAATTACAGCCATGCACCACCACGCCTGGCTAATTTTTATATTTTAGCAGAGACGGGGTTTCACCATGTTGGCCAGGCTGCTCTTGAACTCCTGACCTCAAGTGATCCACCTGCCTCAGCCTCCCAAAGTGCTGGGATTACAGGCGTGTGCCACGTGAAATAAAAGTTCATTAAACATTCACTAAGATAATAAAACATATTCCAGCAGATACTCATCTCCAAAACAAATCATTTAAACACAACCCGGAGATAAGCCAAATATAGTTATTTCTTTATCAAATAAGCCAACTCTAGTTATTTCCCTGTTAGATAAGCTAAATAGTCATTTTAGCACCAGAAACGTGGGCCTACTTAAGTAAAATTTCTGTTTTATTTATGATTTGGGGACGGAAATTCAAGAAATTACAATTTCATATTCCCAAATTTCAACATGGCTACACAACCCAAAAGTTCCAGAAGCAATCAAAACAAAACCTGAAGCATATGTGTTGCTGATAAGCAAAACTACTGTAAGTCCTAACCCCACGGACTCCTTCACTCCCCAACTAAAATTTGCACCAAGAATTTTGTAAGGACTTGCCCCAAAACCAAACTAGGCCCTCACTGACTGCTTTACTTACTTCTTTACGTTTTGTTTCCGGACATTCCGACTGCAGAGTGAGGGTTGCACCTTCGATATTTCTTGGCATGGGTGTGGAACCAGGGTTTATTGTCAAATGAATCTGATCTGGTGAGATAATGTGCTGCACATAACCCTGGGACATTGCTTCATGATCTATCAGGTGAAAGCCCTCTTCACCCCCTACTAGAAAAGGCAAGTGTTCTCCACACTGTCCGTCATCATCTTCATCCTCCAAAGTGCCAGGGTCCTGCTCAATAAGAACAGTGGTCCTATCATAAACAGTTCCAGATGAGGAAGGCACCAGTCCGTTTTTATCCACAAACCTGAGCATTTTATCATCAGGGGTCAGCTCATCTTCCTCTGCCTCAAAGTAGATGATGTTGTCGTCTGGACTGTGTTCCCCCATGGTTCAGTTGTGCTCAGCCCAATTGTGAGAAATGAAAACGTAATGACTTGTCTGCAACAGAACAAAGCCAGAGTTAAGAGTCATACCACAAGACCCACACAGCTCCTCAGCAACCACAAGGTTCATTTTCCCTCTCATTTAAAGAGCAAGCTAAAGCAAATGAAAAACCATCCTTGGAAATAATTTTTTTTTTTATTTTAACTTTAAAAACCATCAAGTCATTTTTTTTTTTTTTTTTTGAGACAGACTCTCGTTCTGTTGCCCAGGCTGGAGTGCAGTGGCGCGATCTCAGCTCACTGCAAGCTCTGCCTCCCGGGTTCACGCCATTCTCCTGCCTCAGCCTCCCAAGTAGCTGGGACTACAGGTGCCCGCCATTACGCCTCGCTAATTTTTTGTATTTTTAGTAGAGACGGGGTTTCACCGTGGTCTTGATCTCCTGACCTCGTGATCCGCCCACCTCGGCCTCCCAAAGTGCTGGAATTACAGGCGTGAGCCACCGCGCCCAGCCCATCAAGTCATTTTTAAAGAAAAGCAATGCTGGCCGGGCGTGGTGGCTCACGCCTGTAATCCCAGCACTTTGGGAGGCTGAGATGGGAGGATCGCTTGAGGCCAGGAGTTTGAGATCAGCCTGGTCAACATAGTGAGACCTCCATCTCTACAAGAAAGGAAAAGAAAAGAAAAGAGCTTTTCAAAAATTGAAGTAATAAGTTCATAAGACCCTCTGAATACGCCTGTCAAACAATTTGAAACTTGGTCAAAATATTTAAAGGGGACAAAAGAGCAAACAGAACAGTAGCTGCTTAAAGGCTGAGTTGCTACAAATCTTAAGAGAAACTCCACTCAAATACCCTCCAAATCAGACCACGAAGCAGTAAATGGTTTCATGTAGTTTATGGTAGAAGGAGCAAGGCTTTGGAGGCAGAGTCATCTACCTACAAATCCTGGCTTTGCCTTTTACTACATGGGTAACTTTTCTGTGCCTCATTTTTCTTATGTGCAAGGTGGGACTAGTAATTCCTGTTCTCTCAAAGTTTTTATAAGGAATAAAAGAGGCAACATATGTAAAGCACAATGTTTGGTAAATAGTAGAGGAACAAGTGTGAATTTCTTCCCTCCTACCTAGAACAGATGTTTCAACCTTCTGGGTGGAAGGGCTAATCCCCAGTCAGGCACAAACAATGAAGATCACTGTATCTATTTATGTCCAATATGGTGTTAACAAGAAGTTATGGTTGTATACTGGGCTCTCGTCCCTGAATGAATTGAGTCTTATTATTTTTGTTTCTACAGCCCCTAGCATAGTACACTGATACAAATGTCAGCTAAATGAATGAAAGACATGGCGACATACTCTCTCGTGAAGATATACTATCTTGGGAAGATACATTCTCTTGAGAAAAATACCACATTTGAAGCTTTCATGTTCTGGAATAGTGATTCTTCCTTCATCTGCAAACACAGGCTCTACAAATGTGGGTCTGGCAGGCAGAACAGAAAATTTTAAAATAATCAGCACATCCCTCTTAGTTTTCAGTCTGGCTTTGCATTTTATCTTTCTCTTCTGCTCTGGGTTAGAAAGTGAGCCTTTACTTAGTGGGGTGGCTAGACAGTTACCAGAAACAGGCCAAAGGATCGGATCCGGGAGGTACCGGCCCGACCCCTAGTTCTGGCTTACGCAACCCCACAGATGTACATTTCGCTGCATCTGAGAAGACAGAAGAGAGCACCGAGGACCCCAGTGGGCTGCCCGGGCACCCTCGGCGGCAACGCGGAGACCAACTGTCCGGAACAAACAAGACCAGGAGGTTTGAAGGTAGCCAACGAGGAGTGCGAACGGAGCCCCCTTGAGAGAAGGCTGGGAAAAGGAGCCTGTCTGCGATAGCCCCCAGCACAGCGCTACACAGAAAAACCCGAAGACAAGCTGGGGGTCTCCAAGCACCGAGGAGAGGGGCAGGGTCCGGGTCTCCATGGAAACAGGAAAGGGGGGCTGGATACCCATCCCCATGGAAACGGAGAAGGGGTGGGGTCCCTATGGTGACCAGACTGAGGTCTCTATTGGGAAATGCTTCAGGAGGGAGCCTAAGTCCCGCGCCCCCCGGTAAGTCCCAAGCCCAGGCCAAGTCTAGTTTCGCCTTTTACCTCCGCGGCTCCCGGCAACGGCGGCAGCAGCAGCTTCTCCCCTCCCCAGCGGCACCATGATTGCCCCCACCTTCCCCTAACGTCACTTCCGCTTCCGCTTTCCGGAGGAAGGAGGGGACAGCGGATCCGCCCCTCCCTGGCGCCTCTGGTTGGCTCAGGTTGTCAGGGGGCTGAGCTGCAGCCTCCAATTGGCGAGCGGGAGGGGCGGGGCGGGGCACCGAGGGGAAGGCGCCCAGAAGGTGAGTTTATTCGCGTGGGGAAGCGCCCGGGGTGTCACGGGCGGCCCGCAGGGTGTCGCCCTCGCGGCACTGGAATCAAGGAGAAGGGAACGAATCCCCAGGGAAGGATCCGAAATGTCCTCAGCCAGGTTTGCGCTGCCCGCCCTCGCCCTGGCAGCCACAGCAGCAGCGGGAAGAACCACAGTTGGCAGTCGGAACCCTGGCTCCAACCCGCCAGGGGAGCCTGGACGACCGCGACGTGCCCAGGTTTCTCCCGCCGGGGCCTCGGCCTTCCCTTCAGCACCCATCAAAGTTAACACAGACGGGAGGCCCAGAAAGGAAGACAAGACCCCAAAGGCAGAACTAAGAGTATTCTGAGCCCAGCTAGAGAGGACGCCACCGCCTCTTCCCTTCTCACGCGCTTGCCTAGGACGCCCAGCTCTCTTCTCACACTCTTGCCCAGGCTGGCGGTCCCAACTTTCTTCCCCTGCAAGAGGACGCAGCTTCGGCGGGACTCATGCCCGGGCCAGTTAGCGCCACCTACCGGCCACTCCCTTCTTTAACCTTTCACATTGTTCTGCTGGCCCGTGTCTTAAACCCATTTTACAGTGCCCAGTAGTGGGCATTCGTACCCAGGAAGCGATTCTGCATGTGCCTTCGTTATGCCCCTGTCCTTTCCAAATGCCTGGAGGATCTAGCTGTTAGATCCTCCCAGCTGCCACTGCCTGTTTTAACCATAAGCTGCTTCTCTCGAATATTCAGAGTGGGACAACTCCAAAAACTAGACCAGGGGTCAAGGGGTTCAGGCCAGTGCCATAACCATTTCTTGCTGGAAATATGTGAATAGTGACCGGTACCCACCAGACTGCCAGGAATATATCTCTTTGGCCCCAAGGCTTGAGCCACAAAGTCCAGCTGCAGCGAACTGCCATCTCTTAAGGGAGAAAAACATATACAACCACCACTGTTAAAAATACATTTATCATTAAAATATATTACACACGGAGACGGGAAGCATCATATACAGTTTGGAAGACTTGCTGACCCAGAAAATCCCACTTGTTTCACCGAACACTCATTTTTTCAGTGATTTTACATTTTTAGAGACGGGGTCTCCCTCTCTCACCCGGGCTGGCGTACAGTGATGTGTTCATAGCTCACTGCAGCCTCAAACTCCTATGCTTAAGTGAGCCACCCCACGTCAGCCTCCCAAGTAACGGACCACAGGTATGCATCACCACACCCAGCTAATTTTTTAAAAATGTTTTTGTAGAGATGGGGTCTCCCTGTGTTGCCCAGGCTGGTCCCAAACTCCTGGTCTCAAGTGATCCTCCCACCTGAGTCTCCCAAAGTGCTGAGATTACAGGCGTGAGCCACTGTGCCTGGTCATTTTAATTTTTTAAATGCCTGTATTGCCCTCAGAGGCTGAGCAACCAGCTTCAGAGTTATCGAGCCATTATCTGGGCAGGAATGGGGGTAGAGTTTGCATATGCATATACACATCCTCAGAGCACTGAAAGCATCTGGGGTGGCTGTGGCCTGTTTCACCCAGCAGCTTCTGCCTGCATTCTTGCCATCCAACTCATTGGCCTTTCATGACTTTCCATCAAATATCTGCTCATGGGGATCTCAGCCCAGGCTATAGGGAAGGCACTGACTATGCCCTGGAGGTAGGGTGAGTGAGTACAACAAATACAGTTATTTAAAAACATTTTAGGCCAGGCGTGGTGGTTCACACCTGAAATCCCAGCACTTTGGAAGGCCTGGATCACCTGAGGCCAGGCATTCGAGACCAGCCTGGCCAACATGGTGAAACCCTATCTCTACTAAAAATACAAAAAAATTAGCCAGGCGTGGTGGCAGACGCCTATAATCCCAGCTACTCGAGAGGCAGAGGTTCAGTCAACCAAGACCACGCCAATGCACTCCAGGCTGGGCAACAAAAGTGAAACTCCATCTCAAAAAAAAGATCAATCTGTGTTAAATAACTAAAGTTGAAAATTGAATGTCAGTTTTATTATGGTGGATTTTCTCCCGTGTCTTCACGACTCACAGCACTGAGTGTGCTAACCAATGGTGAGCTTAGTCAGGGTACTAGGCTCAGGAAATAGCTGCCATTCTTGCTACCAAGTGGCCTCACATAATTATCTTAAGGCATCTCTTGAGCTGAAACAGGTGGGGCTGGTAATTGGCAGCCTCAAGTAAAATAGGAGGAGAGATATAGAGGCTCAGAGTGGGTTGCAGAGGAACTGGTGAATAAATTCTTGAGCCTTTTTCTTCTCTGTCATATCAAGCTTTTGGTGACCAGCTGGGTTTCGAAGCAATAAGCTGCCAAATATGCTAGCTGCAAGAAAAAACACAGAAAAGAAATGATTCAGCAAAAGAAGGTACTAAAGACACACATCACTTAACAACAGGGATATGTTCTGAGAAATGTGTCATTAAGTGATTTCGTCATTGTGCAAACATCATAGAGTGTACTTAAACTTTCACAAACTTACACTTGTACTTACACAATTCTATATGGTATAGTCTATTGCTCCTAGGCTTCTGTACAGCATGTTACTATACTGAATACTACAGGCAGTTGTAACACAGTGCTCAGTATGTGTATATCCAAATATATCTAAACATAGGAAAGGCACATCAAAAATACGGTATTATGAGCTGGGCATGGTGGCTCACACCTGTCATCCCAGCACTTTGGGAAGCCAAAGCAGGCAGATCACTAGAGGCCACGAGTTCAAGACCAAGCTAGGCCAACATGATGAAACCCCATCTCTACTAAAAATACAAAAATTAGCCTGTCCTGCCAGTGGGCTTTCCAAGGGGAATGGTGCTGTGTCAGAGGTGGCTGAGGCTGGGAGGTTGTAGGGGAGACGGCCCTGCTTGGTGTCCTGCCTCTCTGGTTCCCGCCTCCTCTCCCCACCACCCCCTGTCCCCAGTGGGGGCTCGTCCCCAGGCTGAGACAAGGTTCCATGAGCGTGGTAGGGATGGCTGAGGTGTGGGCATTGGAGGGTGTGGCCCTGTGGCCCCTGTCCGAGGGGTGGCTGTGAGGGCCGGGGTGGCCATCTGGCTCCCAGCCCTCTCCCATCCCGCAGTGGGGAGGGTGGGCACGTTGGGCTGGTCACTGCCCTTAAAAAAAAAAAAAAAGGGGGTCGGGCGCAGAGGCTCAGCCCTCTAATCCCAGCACTTTGGGAGGCCGAGGCAGGCGGAATCATGAGGTCAAGAGATTGAGACCATCCTGGCCAACATGGTGAAACCCTGTCTCTACTAAAAATACAAAAATTAGCTGGGTGTGGTAGTGCACGCCTGTAGTCCCAGCTACTTGTAAGGCTGAGGCAGGAGAATTGCTTGAACCCGGGAGGTGGAGGTTGCAGTGAGCTGAGATCACGCCACTGCGCTCCAGCCTGGCGACAGAGCAAGACTCCGTCTCTAAAAAAATTAATTAATTAATTAAATTTAATTAAAAAGCTAGGCATAGTGGCAAGCGCCTATAATCCCAGCTACTCAGGAGGCCAAGGCAGAAGAATCACTTGAACCCAGGAGGTGGAGGTTGCAGTGAGCTGAGATCACACCACTGCACTCCAGCCTGGCTGACAGAGTGAGACTTTCTTAAGCACATACACACACACGCATACACAAACACACACACAAAACCACAGTATTATAATCTTATTGGCCCTCCATCGTATATGTGGTCCTTTGTTGACCAAGATGATATATGGTACATGACTATATTTTTTTGGGGGGGCGGGGGGATGGAGTCTCACTCTGTCGCCCAGGCTGGAGTGCAGTGGCATCTCGGGTCACTGCAGCCTCTGCCTCCCGGTTTCAAGCAATTCTCCCAACTCAGCCTCCCGTTTAGCTGGGATTACAGGCATGCGCCACCACACCCAGCTAATTTTTGTATTTTTAGTACAGGTGGGGTTTCACCATGTTGGCCAGGCTGGTCTCAAACTCCTGACCTCAGGTGATCTGCCCACCTCAGCCTCACAAAGTGCTCGGATTACAGGTGTGAGCCACCGCACCCAGCCCATGACTATACTTATTCTTGTGTTGTTAGGAGTAGGGAGCAGTGTCCAAATGCAAAACTTTCTGCTTTAAAAAATCTTTGCCCAGAGCTTGCCATTTTAGTTCTACTGCAAGGGACCTGGAATCCTCCTCAACCTCATTTCTCATTACGAGTCTCTCAGTTTGCAGAAATGCTTTCCATAGACATTTGGCTGCTTACCTAGAATATTCTCATCCAAATGATTTTTTGCTGAATTTTTCAGCAGTTCTTGTAAAAACGCCATCAAGTAGTAGAAGACATTTTTGTAGAATGTGGGGAGAGTAGAAATGACCTGAAAGAGAAAGAACTGGCATTTGTCTTTTGTTCACTGAATTATTTGTCAAGTGGCTACTATAGTCCAAGAACTGTGTACACGATCCAAGTGCACGAGAAAGACTGTGCACAGAAAACTGGTTGCTTACTACTTGGCATAAGTACCAAAAGAGAGGTAGGGGTCAAATGCAACATGAATTTAGAAGTCAAACTTTTAACTACATGTTCCTATAAGACTGAAGGAAATAAGACATTTTAGTTGGGTCTTGAATATAAGACAAAATTGGACTTACAGAGATAAGAACTGGGGTTATTTAGAGCAAAGAAAGTATAAAAAAGGGCAGGAGAAGGGAAATAGTGAGATAAGTAGAGAGAACACTTTATGAGAAGTCAATTTTGGCAGGAGCATAACTAGAAGGGTTGATCAGGCCCTGATCAATGAGTACTCCAGCTATCTGCATATCAGAATCAGTTTGGAAGCTTGAACAAAATAGATTCCAAAAGTGATTATGGGCCGGGCTCAGTGGCTCATGCCTATAGGCTGGGCTCAGTGGCTCATGCCTATAATCCCAGCACTTTGGGAGGCCGAAGCAGGTGGATCACCTGAGGTCAGGAGTTCGAGACCAGCCCGGCCAACATGGTGAAACCCCATCTCTACTAAAAATACAAAAATTAGCCAGGCGTGGTGGTGCACGCCTGTAATCCCAGCTACTCAGGAGGCTGGGGCAGGAGAATCACTTGAACTTGGGAGGCAGAGGTTACAGTGAGCCGAGATCGTGCAATTCATTCCAGCCTAGGTAATACAGCAAGACTCCATCTCAAAAAAAAAAAAAAGTGATTGTGATTCAGTGGATTTGGGGTATGGCTTTAGAATCTCTATTATTGGCAAGTTTTCTAGATTATTCTGCCAAGGCCTGTTGTATGTGTGAACCACCAAGCTAGATCATAGAAAGTCTTCGATATTTAAGATTAGTAATTGGCAATAGAGAGCCAAGTATGGTTTTTGACCAACAGTCACATGACAATAGCTTTAGAATACACAATCTGATGGCAGTGTGCAAAACAAATCAACAGGAGACCGTGAATGCAGGGCACTGAGCCAAGGTAGGTACAATGAGAATGGAAGAGAGAGGACGGGGGATAGAGCAACGAGACTGGGCACGTGGGAGGCAAGGAGAGGGTGGAGTCAGAAATGACTCAGGTTTTGAGGTTGACTCACTGGAATTAAGGTTGATGCCATTAAAAGAAACAAAGACATAAGAGAAAGAACAGGTTGGAGAAGGAAAGATAAGGTGTTCAGTTTCTGAGATGCTGCACTTGAGGAACTGTGTCCACTCTGTTCCCTCAGCCCCACGGGGTCTGGGGCTAACCACATGCTGCTCAGTGCTTCCTCTCACCTGTTTGCTTGCTGTGTAGTTGCCAGAACACTCCAAGCAGTTATGGTAGGCGCTGTAACAGATGACAGGCTCTGGAAGGCTCTCCAGGAAAAGCAGCAGAGCTTCGGCTACAGAATGATTGCTGGCAGCTTTTGGCCCGTTGTTAAGGAACCGATGATGCTGCTGCCCATGGTTAGGAAAAGGCCCAGGAGCAAGCACGTGCCAGAAGTGCTGACTGCCCTGTCAGGCTCTCTGCTCAGGGCTAGGATGCCAGCCTAACTTCTCGAAGGGGCCACATTGTTTGTCAGGTGAGCCAGGCCCTCCTGAGTTCCTGCTCTATTGGTTGCTTAAAGTTGTAAATTCTTAGCCTGGGCTACATGGTGAAACCCTGCCTCTATAAAAAGTTCAAAAATTAGCCAGGTGTGGTAGTATGTACCTGTGGTCCAAGCTACTCGGGAGGCTGAGGTGAGAGGATTGCTTGAGCCCAGGAGGTAAAGGCTGCAGTGATCCAAGATCACACTACTGCACTCCAGCCTGGGTGATAGAGATGGACCCTATCTCAAAAAAATAAAATGAAATAAAATTGTAAAGCCTTCTCTATGCAAACTTTAAATAAAACATGGTAGCTGAGGATACAATATCAGATTTTGAGCCATAAAATACTTTCCTTTTTCTCACCTGTCTCACTCACATTCTCTCTCTCTCTCTCACTCATATTCTCTCTCTCTGTCTCTCTCACACACGCACAGTTGAATGTCTGAAGGATACAGAGGTTATCAATCATTCCAGTATCCAAGCAGTCCCTGACATGTTCAAATTCTGACCTCAGGCCTGGCTGCTGAAACAGATCTTCCTGCAAAAGGGAACACAGTAACAAAACAATTATTTTCTCAGAAAATCATGAATGATTTCCTGACCTGGCAATATCACTAGCAGAATGCAACAAGGAGCAGTGTGGTGAGGCCTCTGAATCACCCTGACAGATGATCTGATTTAGGCTGATGTGGCTAATTCATCTTGCAGGACTTCCCAGGCAAGTTTCTACAATAGGTCTTCAGGCATCTACTATAAAACTATGGGTAGGGCACACAACACACAAGAAGATCCAACATTGGAGAAAACATAAAGGCAGCTATGTTTCCTGCAGTAGTATAGAGGGATTACCCAGGGGGAAAAAAATGAAGAAAATATACAGTGCATAAGAGCATAAGAGAACACTAACAAGGCACCTCAATGCTTTGGGCAAATAAGATTATGGCAGCGGTCAGGCGTGTTGGCTCACGCCTGTAATCCCAGCACTTTGGGAGGCAGAGGCGGGCGGATCACGGGATTGAGACCATCCTGGCCAACATGGTGAAAGCCTGTCTCTAAAAAAATACAAAAATTAGCTGGGCTTGGTGGTACATGCCTGTAATCCCAGCTACTCAAGAAGCTGAGGCAGGAGAATTGCTACAACCCGGGAGGTGGAGGTTGCAGTGAGCCGAGATGGTGAACTGCACCCCAGCTTGGTGACAGAGCGAGACTCCATCTCAATAAAAACAGATTATGGCAACAAAGCTATTTCCATTAGTCTCAGGATACTTTATGTTCATTTGTTTTATAAAATGACTTAATACCATGTAACTGTATTAATAATAACAATATTATATGTATTGCTCAAAAGTTTCATTTGAAAGAAGGGCTACAGAGAAAGTAGAATAGTACAGCACTGAAGAATATGACTTCTCTAGCCAGATTCACTGTATTCAAATTCTACCTCTGCCCATTTATCAGCTTGGGGACGTTAACCAAGTTATTCACCTTTCCAGGCATCTGTTTCCTCATCTGAGAACTACTGTGAAAACTAGAGGCAATGCTGTAAAAAACAGTTAGAATAGTGATTGGTACACTGCAACTCTCAATAAATGTGAGGAGGAAAAAAGTGAAAATGGAATATCATAAGAATGCATATTTAAAAAAAAAAAAGATGTTGCTCTGAAGTGGTCAAGTGGGCTTGTAGTTGGTATAGGTCTCCCTGAAACCTACATAAACAGGTCAGTGAAACTAACTGATCTGATTAGTGAAGCCTGCCCTAGTCACTCTAGAAATCAGGCCTCCAAATTTGTGGCCCAGGGGTTGCATCTGGTCCCCTGCCTCTGCTTGGTTTATCAACAAGTTGGCCCCACCCATTCCCAGAAGCTGGTGAGAGTTCCTGAGGAGAGCGATGACATCCTGAGAGGCCTCCAGGCAGCTTTCCGGCTGGAGGACCCCAGAGGCCATGGGAAGGAACATGCTGTGCTGTGCCGGGATGGCCTTCCTATGCAACGCTGCTTCCCTTGGGGGTAATCAGGTACTGCATGTAATAGCAGGGCCTCTGGCAGGGCCTGGTGGCTCACACCTGTCATCCCAGCACTTTGGGAGGCTGAGGCGGGCAGATCACCTGAGGTCAGGAGTTGCAAGACCAGCCTGGCCAACATGGTGAAACTCCATCTCTACAAAAATACAAAAATTAGCCAGGCATGATGGCGGGTGCCTGTAATCCTAGCTACTTGGGAGACTGAGGCAGGAGAATCACTTGAATCTGGGAGGCGGAGGTTGCAGTGAACCGAGATTGCACCATTGCACTCCAGCCTGGGCAACAGAGTAAGACTCTGTCTCAAAAAAAAAAAAAAAAAAATAGCAGGGTCTCCCAGGAGTGTGAAACATGGCATACTATCTATCCTTCCTCCCCTCCCTGGGTGAAGAACAGTTCTCCACAGGTTCCTTATGCAAAAAGTTCTTGGGGCTGATGGTCCTTCTCAAGGCAGCCTGGCCTCAATCAGGTCTGAATGCTTAAACACAACCTACCTGCTGGACAGCATTTCGGTACAGGTAATCAACCATCATCCAGAGCTCTTTGGGGATTTCCATGGGGCTCTCCAACTGGCTGCCATCATCTCCTGTCTGTATTGGCATCAGAGTCTGGAAAACAATCAAGATCATGACAGAACTTCTGCCAGGTTGGCTCCAGGAAAATGCATGGCATGGGAATGGCAAACCCACGGAAAAAGGAAAACATTTCACTGCCCCTAACCACACATTCCACAGACAGAAATGAAATCAGGTGGTATGATCAAGGAACAAAAGGTAATTTTTGAGAATCAGGAGACGGTTATGACAAGCAGTTTCAATGAATCAGGTGAAATATGCACCATCTTTTTAGGAAAAAAATCATTCCTATAGCATTTCACTATAGAACCAGAGAGAAGATGTGGTCTGGTGAGGAAACAGCACAGACTTGGAAGTCCAAAAATCTGAGTTCAAGGCCCGGGACCACTGTTTTGATTTTTATTTTTTATTTTTATTTTTTTGAGATGGAGTCTCACTCTGTCGCCCAGGCTAGAGTGCAATGGCACGATCTCGGCTCACTGCAACCTCCACCTCCCAGGTTCAAGCGATTCTCCTGTCTCAGCCTCCCTAGTAGCTGGGATTACAGGTATGTGCCATCACGCCTTGGCTAATTTTTTGTATTTTAGTAGAGACGGGGTTTCACCATGTTGCTCAGGCTGGTCTCGAACTCCTGAGCTCAAGCAATCCACCTGCCTCAGCCTCCCAAAGTGTTAGGATTATAGGCGTGAGCCACCACGCCCAGTCTGATTTTTTTTTTAATTGATTTTTTTTTTTTTTTAAATTTTGAGATGGGGTCTTGCTATGTTGCCCAGGCTGGTCTTGAACACCTGGACTCAAGTGATCTACCCATCTCAGCCTCCCAAAGTGCTGAGATTACAGGCGTGAGCCACCGTACCGAGCCTCCAGGTCCACTGTTTTTATTTATTTATTTATTTATTTCAGACAGAGTCTTGCTCTGTCACCCAGGCTCAGTGCAGTAGTGCTATCTTGGCTCGCTGCAACCTCCGCCTCCCGAGTTCAAGCGATTCTCCTGCCTCAGCCTCCCAAGCAGCTGGGAATACAGGCACCCGCCACCACGCCCAGCTAATTTTTTTTATTTTTAGTAGAGATGGGGCTTCACCATCTTGGCCAGGCTGGTCTCGAATTCCTGACCTCGTGATCCACCTGCCTCGGCCTCCCAAAGTTCTGGGATTACAGGCGTGAGCCACTGTGCCCAGCCTCCAGGTCCACTGTTAACTCACCATATGACCTGTGACAAATCACTCTCCTTGATTGGGCCCGTTTTCATCTACATGATGAAGAAGAGGGAATTCAAGACTCCCTAAATTTAAAAATGCATTGGAAAAAAAGCATACATATTACCATAGATTGCTCCAAATTAGTTCCCTTGTATTAGAATTGTCTCCATAGGAATCTTTTAGATCGCAGCAAATTTAGTTTAGGATGATAACCTACCAATGATGATTTAAAAGAAACAAAAGAATAATATCATTGACAATGGAACTTTCATTATTTTGGAGTTCATGGCTGAGTTTGTCTTCTTTTTTTTTCAGAGATAGGGTCTTACGCTATCGCTCAGGTACTGCAGTCTTGAACTCCCAGTCTCCCTCCCACCTCGGCTTTCCAAGTAGCTAGGACTACAAGTGCACACCCCCGTACCCAGCTCATTTCTTAATTGTTTTGTAGAGATGGAGTCTCATTATGTTGCACAGGCTGGTCTCAAAGTCCTGGCCTAAAACATTTCTCCTGCCTTGGCCTTCCAAAGTGCTAGGATTACAGTTGTGAGTCACTATGTCCAACCCATGGCTGAGTTTCTCTAATGTGCTGCTACAGACTGAATGTGTATGTCCCTCTCAAATACATACGTTGAAACCTAATCCCTCGGGTGATGGTACTAGGAGGTAGGGCCTTTGGGAGATGGATAGAGCATAAGGGCTCTGCCCTGATGAATGGGATTAGTGCCCCTAAACAATACACCTCAGAGACCTCCCTCACCTCTTCTGCCATGTAAGAACACAGTGAGAAGATGGCCCTCTATGAACCAGGAGGTAGGCCCTCACCAGACACCAAATCTGGCAGTGCCTTGATCTTGGACTTCCCAGTCTCCAGAACTGTGAGAAATAAATTTCTGTTGTTGATAAACCACCCAGTCTATGGTATACTGTTATAGCAGCCCAAACAAAGACACGTACTATAAGTGAAATACTGAAAAACATGGCCGCAGCATTTTGCAGCTTTTCTTTCCTATCAAGAAGTGGAGTTAGGAAGGGCATGGTGGCTTATGCCTGTAATCCCAACACTTGGAGAGGCCGAGGTAGGTGGATCAGCTGAGGTCAGGAGTTCGAGAACAGCCTGGCCAACATGGCGAAACCTCGTCTCTACTAAAAATATAAAAAAATTAGCTGGGCATGGTGGTGCACACTTGTAGTCCCAGGTACTGGGAGGCTGAGGCACGAGAATCGCTTGCAACCCAGGTGGCAGAGGTTGCACTAAGCAACCTTCCAGCTACTGGGGAGGCTGAGGCATGAGAATCACTGCAACGTGGGCGGCAGAGGTTGCAGTGAGCCGAGATCGCTCCACTGCACTCCAGCCTGGGTGACAGAGTAAGACTCTGTCTCAGAAAAAAAATAAAAATAAAAATAAAAATAAAAATAAGGGCCGGGCACAGTGGCTCACGCCTGTAATCCCAACACTTTGGGAAGCCAGGGCGGGTGGATAATCTGAGGTCAGGAGTTTGAGACCAGCCTGGCCAACATGGTGAAACCCCGTCACTACAGAAAATACAAAAATTAGCCGGGTATGGTGGCGGGTACCTGTAATCCCAGCTACTTGGGAGGCTGAGGCAGGAGAATCGTTTGAACCCGGGAGGCAGAGGTTGCAGTAAGCCACGATCATGCCACTGCACTCCAGCCTGGGTGACAAAGTGAGACTCCAACTCACAAAACAAAACAAAACAAGCCAGGCGTGGTGGCTCACACCTGCAATCCCAACACTTTGGAAAGCTGAGGAGGGCAGATCACTTGAGATCAGGAGTTCAAGACCAGCCTGGCCAACATGGTGAAACTCCGTCTTTATTAAAAATACAAAAATTGGCTGGGTGCAGTGGCTCACGCCTGTAATCCTAGCACTTTGGGAGGCTGAGGCGGGCGGATCACCTGAGGTCAGGAGTTCAAGACCAGCCTGGCCAACATGGTGAAATCCCGTCTCTACTAAAATACAAAAATTAGCTGGGCATGATGGTGGGTGCCTGTAATCTCAACTACTCGGGAGGCTGAGATGGGAGAATTGATTGAACCCGGGAGACGGTGGTTGCAGTGAGCCAAGATGTGCCACTGCATTCCAACCTGGACAACAGAGAGAGACTCCATCTCAAAAAAAAAAAAAAAGAAAAAAAAAGTCAGGCGTGGCGGCTCATGCCTGTAATCCCAGCACTTTGGGAGGCTGTGGCAGGTGGATCGTCACCTGAGGTCGGGAGTTCAAGATCAGTGTGACCAACATGGAGAAACCCCATCTCTACTAAAAACACAAAAAAAATTAGCCAGGCATGGTGGGACATGCCTGTAGTCCCAGCTACTCGGGAGGCTGAGGCAGGAGAATCACTTGAACCCGGGAGGCAGAGGTTATGATGAGCCAAGATCACGTCATTGCACTCCAGCCTGGGCAACAAGAGTGAAACTCCGTCTCAAAAAAAAAAGTGGAGTCTTTCTCCACTCGTAGAATCTCTAGTCTGGCTTCACAACTTGCTCTACCAATAAAACATGGCAGAAGTGGCCTTGTATGCATTTTGGAGCCTATGCTACAAAAGGCCTTACAGTTCTTCTCTCATGTTCTTGCTACTGCCTACAGAAGCCTGAGCTAGCCTTCTGAATGATAAGCCCATGTGGTGAGTGAAACTCAGAGAAAAGCTAACACCAAGACATGTGAGAGAAGCCATCTGGAGCCCTCCGGCCATCACAGCTGCCATCTGATTATAACCACACAAATGGGGCTAGGTGAGACCAGCAGAAGACCCATATTGGAAACCCACAGAATCATGAGAAGCAATAACTCGGTGTTAAAAACTACTAAAATTTCAGGATGGTTTGTAGCACAGCAATATACAGCTGATACACTAAGCAAGCTCTAGGAGGCTGAAGAATGTCTAAGTCCCTAGGAAGGTAGGCATAGGAATATCTTGTTTGACTGGCTTGGCTGCTACAAAGTTCTAGATGTTTCTTTGTGGCATATTACTCACCAGCTCACTAATAGTTTCAAGTGGTAGGTCCAAGATTGGCTCTCTCATGTAACACAGTGTATGAATGGGAGACCCGAAACAGCTGGGCAGGTAATTCCCAGACACAGATAAAAAGTAATCCTTTCCCCTGTCCAAGTGCAAAACCAGAATGTCCTCAATTTTGTCTTCACCCGAGTTGAGCTTTGTAGCTGTCGTCTTATTTACGAAGAGCTCCAGTTCAATCTCAATGTCAGAATCTGCAGAGAAATTTTAAAAATAATGTTGGCTGAGGGGAGGCCAAGAGGAAAGGGGAAAGAAAATAGGAGGGAAGCGGGTAAGCCATAAAGAGTTAGGAAAAGGAAAGAAAAGGTATCAGCCAACCAACAAGCATCTAAATGTGCTTAGCATGCAGGAGACATAAGAACAAAGAGTTTATAGTCCAACTGGGAATACGAAAACAACAAACAAAAACATTTGAATAGACAAATGCTATAAAATTTAAGTACTAAGGAGCATAGCTTAAGCTAGAAATACTAACAGAATAAGAAGACATGGATCAAAGAGCCTTCCCTGAGCCAGGTAAGATGAAGATGCCTGATTCAGTAGAAGTGTAATGCAATTATCAGCCTATGAATTGTCCACAAAACACCCTTCATTGTTCCATCACATAGTACCATGCAGAGTGCGAAGGAGAAGTCAGGAAAAATGTGGATGGTACATTCCAGAGCCAGATATAATTTCTGGATCAACTTCCCCATTATCAAGAGCAGATAATTGGGAGTTGATTATAGCAAGATAGCAAAATGGTTCCTTTAACAGCAGCACCTGATTTACAGCAATCTTATGTTTTCTCTTTCTGTGAAATTATGGAACATATAAATGACTGAGAATGCTTTTGAAACTGAACTCATGCTCCCCACTATTTTCTATTTTATTTATGAATGGGTTCATCTATAGGGCTTTTTAAAAAGCCTCAAGCAGAGAATAAAACACTCAAGCAAAAAGCTCATTTTAGGAAAATGAGCATATATAGAGTAAGGCATTCCCCAAACCAGATACCAGGAAGCTAGGAACAGAGGGCTTACCAGGCAGGAGGAAGCCTCTGCTGGGGTTGGCATTCAGCCACTGCTTACAGTAAGACTCTTCATCAGGCTTGTTGATGAATTCAAAATGACAGGGTACTTGTCCATTATGAATTGTAAAGGATTCTACTTTCAATTGCATGTACTTCACATTCTGAAAACAGAACTGGGAAGAAGCCCGAGGCCAGTAAAAACGAGTGCCCTTTCCTCGGCAACCTGCCCAGCCACCCCAACTGGGCAATCCTTACCATGGAAAGAAAATGAAGGACCATCTCTTTTAAATGTTTCTGCTTTAAGTATTTACCTGGGAGGCCACAGTTCCCACTAAAGACTAGTTATCTGTGTTTAACCCAAAATCCAAAAATTCCATTTGTTTTTGTATGTCTATTTCCTGAAGAAAGTCAAAGTTTATATCTTCTATACGCAAAAACCATTTACAAAATACCCTTCACAAATTCCACTTCTACACATGAAGATCAAGCCCATCCTTCCAAGTAGCTGGACAACTAGGGCATTAAAAATGCCATCTGCGGCTGCCACAGTGGCTGAGGCCCATAATCCCAGCACTTTGGGAGGCCAAGATGGGCAGATCACTTGAGCTCAGGAGTTCAAGACCAGCCTGGCCAACATGGTAAAACCCCATCTCTACTAAAAATGCAAAAATTAGCTAGGCATGGTGGCACAGCCTGTAATCTCAGCTACTGGGAGGCGGAGGCAGGAGAATTGCTTGAACCTAGGAGGTGGAGATTGCAGTGAGCCGAGATCATGCCATTCCACTCCAGCCTGGGTGACAGAGTGAGACTCTGCTTAAAACAAACAAACCAAACAAAAAAACGCCTTCACCTTAAACCCCGGTTTAACTTTGTAGAATGTCAAGTTTAATTGATCATCCATGTGGCTCTTCCACAAAAAACCTTCAGACCTTATTCAACTTCCTATATTACCTATTCCTTTTCTATACTGTCTTCCCTCCCACCAACTCATGGGTATCCAAACTCAATTTAATCTCAAAGCAAAGCATCAGTAAGAAGAAAACTCCATTGCAAGAATACACAATAGTTATTCTAAAACCAAAACACATTTTGAACCGTATTCTGGTTTAGAAGAGCAGGACATGATGACCTAAGCCAACAACCTCTCTCTTCTCAGCTAACACCATCAGCCTCACTTTATCTAGAAGCAGTCTATGAAAAGACCACAGTCCGAGAGTGCTATAGGTGCCTCCTAGAACTCTGAGCTCCAACAGATGAAGAGATTTAAGCTCTAGGAATAGAAGAGCCCAACACTTTTTTTTTTTTTTTTTTGAGACAGAGTCTCGCTCTGTCGCCCAGGCTAGAGTGCAGTGGCCGGATCTCAGCTCACTGCAAGCTCCGCCTCCTGGGTTCACGCCATTCTCCTGCCTCAGCCTCCCGAGTAG